TTTTTTCTTCTCTTTCTTCTCATGTTGTTTTTCATTTTTTAAATGGTCTTATATGAGTGTAATGCCACTATGAAATTTACTGTTCTCTTTAACCATGTATACAGGTGCATTTGAAGATCCGGATATCATCCATGTTGATGATACTGTGGATCCTGTGAGGGATTTGGAGATTATCAGTGCAGAATTGCGCCTAAAGGTGCACTTGATAGTCAATGATTCTCTAACTATGACTGATTCTTGATTTCTGCTTACGATCTATAATTAAAACTATAATTTGTGATTTGCTTATGATCTCATTTAGCGTTTTTCTTTTTTCTTTTTGCAGTTAAACTTATCCATCCATATTGAATTTTAAGAGAGTTATATGTTATGTTTTGCAGGACATTGAATTCATTGAGAGGAGGACAGAAGATCTTGAAAAGAGCATGAAGAGGAGCAATGAGAAGGCATTAAAGATTGAGCATGAGTTGTGCCAAAAGGTTTGATCCATGAGATAGTGTCTAATATTTTTTATTTTCATGTGCAACCTTTCTTTATGTATATCATAGTCTTGTATTGAATCTATTGAGATTCCAATTTCAATCACTTAACTTTTGCCAATAATGTACCTGTATTATTGTAAGTAATAGAGAATGTTTGTTACTCATGGTTTATCTAGTATTGGAGGTTTTTCATACTTGTGGTTTTAGAATTTAGAATTTCCTCTGAATGCCTGGGAAAATACTGTATTAGTGTTTGAACTGATATGACAAGCTAGACACTTAACTAAAAGCATTAACCATATTGGTGTTCAAAGTGATACGTCTAATTTCTACCCCTTTATTTTGCATGGGTATGATGGCTGGGATGACATAATGTATTAAGAAAAGATAGTCACAACAATGTACAAGGGGGATGGGAAATAAATCATGTGAAAAAAGAGGTTGTTTCCTATGTTACATTTCACAACTGGAATGTTTTCCCATCTTCCTTGGTTTCATAGCATGTTTTCCCATCTGTATTTATTGTCTTTTCATGATGCTTGCATTTTTCTGATGCTTTCATCTCTAAATGATCTAGCGTGCATTTTACTAATTTATATCTATTTACAATTACCTACTGATTTTGAACATTGATTGTGGATCTAAAGATCAAGGCATGGCTTGAGGATGGGAAAGATGTCCGTCTAGGGGAGTGGAAAGCTGCTGAAGTTGAGATCCTGAATCCCTTTCAATTGCTAACAGCCAAGCCTGTTGTTTACTTGGTAACTTTTCCTTACCATGGCGACTTCGTAATTTTTCTGTACATGTTGCACACTATATCTATCTTCTATGTTTGGTATCTTCTACTTCATAGTTTTTCCTAAAATCAGCATATGTAAACGATAATTTTTTTTTCTTGTAAACAAATGGAAGTGTTGGTATATCTTTCGCATGTTGACCTCCTCGACAAATCTATGGAAATCTTTTATTTTTTGTTCTTTTTATGAGCATATCATGTTTTCTTTAAAAAATGTATTCGAAAGGAATCATATGAAGAGTCTTTAGTGGGACATTTATAAAAAATACTTAGACAAAAGAGTTTTGTTGTATTTTTCTTGTTTATACCCCTCGAAAGAAAATTTTCTGAAACATGTATAAAATGTGCAAAGGACCATTCTAATTTCCTACATTTTTTTCTTCTAAAATGTAATTGTTTGTCAAGTTGTACAAATTGTTTTGCTACAAGCCTTTTTGGCCACTTATGTTTGTTTAGCTGGCCTTCAAAGCCTTAGGATCTCACTTTTAGCTATGTGCATATGAGGATTTGTCATATCTGTAACTATATTATTTCCACAGGTTAACATGAATGAGAAAGATTACCAGAGGAAAAAGAACAAGTTCTTGCCAAAGATCCATGCGTGGTATGGCCAAACCTTCTGATATTTATTCTCTATCCACTCTCTCTTGCTCTGTGTGTTTGCATGCTTCTGCTTGCATTTTTTTTTTTATCATTGTGCATGTCTGAGTCTATCTGTGTATGCAAGTAGTTGTGTTCACATATGGCAACTTTTTTGTGCGTTTCAGTTCTCTTTATAGCTTTCACACATTTTACTATAGGATTCATACTGTTGGTTACCTAAACAGGTTTTTTGCCATGAAAAGCTTAAAACACGTAGTTATGCTTCATAGATTGATTTAAAGTGTTTGCATGCATTAGCTTTCTTAGGCTTTATTCTACCATTTTCCTGCAGAATGTTCCTAAATATGTTACATCTTGAAACAAATCATGTGGTGAAGATAACAGTAAAACTGCCATTTTCCATGTTATAGGGTGCAGGAACATGGAGCTGAACCAATTATTCCATTCAGCTGTGCATTAGAAAGGAATCTCGCTGATTTGCCACCTGAAGAAGCAGCAAAGTATTGTGAGCAGAACAACGTGCAAAGGTTAGTTCAACCCTTGTTGTGTTGAGTTAATGGAGTTTATGAATGCTGGCATATGGTTTATATCTTTCACTAGTAGCTAATTTGTTTTATTTCTTGGAAGAAAAGAAACACTGGCACACGCTGCTACCTTTTCTTATTTGTGCCATCCTTAATTGATCTTGTTTTGCAATTTTATGTATACCGTCCGTGTTCGAAGGACCTTTACAATCTTTTATCTTGGGTTAAGTCAAGTCATAGTTTGGCTACTTCTACTCTGATTCCTGAGTAACCTCCCTGAGTAATTTTCGGATATCAGTATGATTATTTGTCATTAGAGTCCCTTAGTATCTCTCTATTGGCAATATGTTCACGGGGTCTTGCAGTGGAGGAACAGAGTGGATATTTAGTATGTAATTTGTATGCTGACTGGATCAAATCTTCTACAGTGCCCTTACCAAGATCATAAAAACTGGATTTTCAGCGATTAATCTGATATACTTTTTCACCGCTGGACCTGATGAGGTAAAATATTAACACTTGCTCTCTTTACCATTCTTTTGAAGTTAAACTTAATGCCACTTGTCTAGGGTTACTGTTTTTTTGCTTGTACTTGATCTGAGTCTATCAACTACTATCACATTTGGCAGGTGAAGTGCTGGCAAATTAGGCGGCAGACGAAAGCTCCTCAAGCTGCAGGGGCCATCCATACTGATTTCGAGAGAGGGTTCATTTGTGCTGAGGTTATTTCTTGCATATATTAAATCTTATCTGGCAATAATTCTTTAATAATATTTTTACCAGCTCTAGTTCCAATATACGATATACGAATACAAGAGATTGCTTGGCCCACTCCATGTTCAGTAAAAATGTCTTTTCTGTTCAAACTTATGCAAGAAAAAGAAATTGAAGAAAAAACGCTATATTACTGTCTGCTGTCACCGTTATATTACTGCTTCTCTGCTATCATCACCAAAGTGCCCCTGCCTGTTTGGATTAGAGGATGTACTAGATCTATCAAGTTCATTGACTGGGTTTCTTTCTTCATTTACAGGTCATGAAATTTGATGATCTGAAGGAACTCGGAAGTGAGCCAGCTGTTAAGGTATGAGATACGTTCTGAACAATGTCTTGTGGGCTTTAAATCTAATTCTCGATCATATCATTGCTTTCGTGACATATAAATAGTAGGATCGTGTTCCCATGATTTACAGTCCCTAGATAGCCCAAAGCTGCCATCCAGTCGGTTGTCAGCACTCACCCAAAGGCTTTTAGCGTCCATAGCTTTGAATTATAGAAGGAATTAATACTGGTTTACAAAGAGGATCCTCTGCTGTTTCGGCACACCTATGTGTTGTGCTACGCGAGGAATTATCATATGTTTTAACTTGCTAATTAATTTCACATGTCTTCGTTGTTTCAGGCTGCTGGTAAGTACAGACAGGAGGGGAAGACATACGTGGTCCAAGATGCAGATGTCATATTCTTCAAGTTTAATGTTTCTGGGGGCGGGAAGAAGTGAGCAGCATCTCCACTCCAGCACAGCGTCTATCTTAATATGCTGATTCAGTGAGTGCATTTCGATGTCATTCATATGATTGTATACCTGCATCGTTAAAAATGATAAACAACTGGTCGCGTGTTCTGTATCTTCGGGCTAGATTTTTGTTCTGCTAGTTCAGTTGCCACTGCTTTGATATATGTTGGAAGTTGATTGTAGACTTGTGAAGAGCAAATAGATAATACAAGATGTATCTGAAATCTCCTATGTATCCGGATTCTAAATTGGATTTCTTTTTAACTCGCCATTCAAAAATTTTAGGATACTCTGGATGTTTTAACCGTTATATTCTAATTTTTATATTTTTAAACAAAAATCCAACCGTTAAAACACAGAGTATCCCATACTCTGGACACCGTAGAAAATCCTGTGGAGGTAAATCGAAATATCACAAGAGTTGTATATTGTTGAGTAAATCGTATCATTGGGGAGGGTAAAACTATTGTTATTGAGGGTAGTGCCCAACACCCCCAACCTAACTTTTTTGTCTCGTACCCCCTCTTTTTCGATCATAAGATCGAGAAATAGGGGATAGTTGATTATGGGCAGGAAAGAATAAGTATGGTATATTATGGGTTACGCTTCTTATTTACCTTTTTTTTTTTGTTTTCTGTTTCGTTTTAGAATAAGATTTAACCTAGAATGTGGAATCTATTCCTTTCCTTTCTTTATTAAAAGAAGTTGAAGATAGATAGTACTAGATAATAAGCCCGCGCGTTGCGGCGGGAACCAACTGTCATGTATGAACATAGGGACACGTGAATGAATGACGTAGATAAGATAAGCAGCTTGGCTTTTATATACATTTAACTTAGTATGGCTTATTCAGGTACACCAAGAATCGCCACTATATTTGAAATGAATTTGGTGGATTAGAAACACTGTAATCTCACGCAACTAAGATCATCTAATACTTTCAACACTATTTGCAACTCAACTACAATACCTATTATTGATTAAGAATTAATTCCTAACCCACTACTCAAAAACCTAAATTCATAAGAAAATGAAGAAAAAAAACATGAGCAAAATTTTTGGTAAAACTCAATAATTACTTTAGTCTAAAGAAGGCTTTTCAATTGCACTGTACCAATGAACAGTGTTTTGCACCACATTTCAGTTTATTTACAAGATTACCACTCGGATGCTATTAACCACCTTTCATTTAATTTACAAAATTGCCACTCAGGCTTAAAAACCTATTTTCAGCCGTTGGCTGCATTTCACGTTTGACTCGGCGAGAGAGAGGGGAGGGGAACATCACGCCTGACAAATTGGAGAGAGACAATCGCTCCCATTTTTGACTCGGAGACAGCTGGGTGTGCCTCTGGCGAGCGGAGATAGGGGGATAGAGCGACTACAGAGGAGGGAGACACAGAGCCTGACAGATTGGAGAGAGATGGGAGCTACGGGTTTGGACTGAGTGAGAGAGATATTTAGGTAGGTGCTCTGCCAAGCTCTCTCTGCCGCTAATCTTGATGCAAACGTGTTGATAATCATGGGAAGGGTAGAACGATGGTAAAGCTGGCCTTTTCCATTTCCTTCTCAAACCCTCATTGCCTCTTCCGTCTCGCAGACCCTGCGAGAACGACGGTATCGCAGACCCTGTGAGAACGACGGTCTCGCCTCCATCCTATCCTCCAGTCGCCGCCGTCTCCCTTCTCTAGGTAGGGTGTTGTGCGTGTGCGGACACCATCAGTTGCTGGATTCATTAACCCCGGTTCTGAGGGATTTCAAAAGCTATTTTTCCGTCGAGGAAATCGCCATACCGGTGCACTCAAAGTAAGTCGCCGAATCTCATCCTCTTCCTAGATTTCGTCTTTCGTGGCTGCAAGCCAAGTTTTGTATAGTTATCTATATGCATGTATGCTTGGTTAATCTTAATTTTCCATATCCAATATATTCAAATCATGTTATTAGTCAGATTACTATTTGTGATCTGTTGTTTCGAGATTGTCTAACCTTTAGGTTGATAACTGAAATGTGGTGCAAAACACTGTTCATTGGTGCAGCATTGAAGCATCATACGCCGCACATCCTATTGCTGATGTCTTTATCAACTTTGCTTCATACAGAAGGTCAATGATTATTCTATGAGTAGTGTTTTGGAGTGCAAAGCTTCTATGGTTGCACCTAACGATGAATGTATGTTGATATATCTGCAGTGCTGCTGCTTCTTCGATTGACGATTTCGATGTCGGCTTCGTGAGATCTCTTCGATCTTTGCTCCCAATTTCTGTAAATTTGGGGTTTCTTGGGGTATAATGTTTTCAAACTCTGTTACTTATTGGATGTGAAGATCTAATTCAATTTGGTGATTAATATAATTAGATTGTATTAATTTTTTCATGATTTTGTAGAATTTTACGTTTTAATTTGTGGGTTTTGGAGAATTCTTCATTAAATTTCGGGGTTCTTATGATGTGAGATTTAGTTAATTTTTAGCTTTTGTAAAATCCTTTGATTAACTTTTTTTGTTTTGTTCTCTTTTCGTATTAGCAAGTTATGGAACCAACTAAAGATCAATTAACTTATAACTGATTCTTCTCTCTTCAGGTTCATGGATTGTTAAGCAGAGTGTGGGGAAAGAAAGGGTGCCTCACTGGTTAGGCACTTGAAATCAATTATTTCCATCGGAAGAACTACTTGGAGGTAATGTTGAAGAAATAATTATTAAAGTACATTAAAAATTGTAACTTGCGTTTTGATATTCTATTACTCCACATGCTAAATCTGCTTGGACATTGAATGATGGAGGAGCTGGTTTCTTTTTTACTTAGGGCGTGTGGGATGAGATTTAAATGTGTGCCTCTCATGATTTGCATAAACATAACTTGGATATGAAAGTATAAGATATCATGAATCATATGTTATTTTCTAATTTGGATACATTATGTGAATTATTGCTTCTTTAGAAAAGATTAAGGAAGGTGGGTTCATCATGGGATTTAAGTTTTAACAATACAACTTCTTAAAATTGAGTAAATGCTCGCATTTGATAGAACTTTGAAGATGGATTTTCAGGTTCAAATTTTGGTTGTGTATTGGTACTGTGGAGTTTTTACTTTTATTTTATTTGTGTGTATGGTTGGGAATGAGGTATCTGAAAATTTTGGAGAAAAATTACCGGCTATTATTTACTTGCAAAGTCTGTAACTTTCTTTTAGCTTTTGCAGTACGTTTGGGAGCAAGCTGAAATTGATACCATTGAGCACAGGACAAGAATAAGCCTCCATTTCCATCTCCTAAAAGCAGCATAAGAAAATTAAACAAGCATTTTCATACAGCTGGAGGCTGTAAGTTGTTTATGTTTTTCCAATTATTACTTATTTGATAATATTTTGTTTTTCTGGTTTCACTCTATTTACGGACTTACCATTCACTAAGGATTTCGGCTGGGCTTTTTTCTTTTCAGATTTAGTTGTATGGGCTTTTGCGGGTTTGGGCTGTGACTGGGTTGGTGGGTTTTGTTTGTGGTTGGGTTTTTCGGATGGATGGCGACACGGGCAGGCCTAGCCTGCAACGATGCCAGCGAGAAGAGATGGGAGGTGTCGTGTGATGCAAGAGAGAAGAGAGAGAGGAGGAGTCGTCCGATGGTAGAGAAGAGAGAGGGGTCGTGCGATGCCAGAGAGAAGAGAGAGCAGGACTCTTGGAAGGAAAAATTGGAAGAGAGAGGGAGGGGTAGGATGAGCAATGCAATAGGTAGGGCTGCCCGGAATTTGGGTTTTGTTTTTTCTCGATGAGGTATGCTTAGAGAAGCGGTGAGGCATGAAGGGACGCCTAAACCGAGGGTTGGTTTCAGAGATTTGGTTCCAGCTGGAAGCTATCTCTGCAAGCATTGATGAGGATTTCTCCCAGCTGGCAGCTTCAATTCCTTTCAAAGCTAGGTGTCCCTTTTGAACTGAATTTTCCCTTATTTCACTGCTTTTGGTTTGAACCTGCTTAGGAACCTGTTTTTTTTTTCCTGCTTTTTTTTTTCTGTTTGGTTCTGGTTCGGTTATTCAACTTTTAGTTGGGAGTGCAAGATATGTTTTTAAATTATTAAATTGGGACAGAAAAACAGATATTTTGTGCTGCTTTCTTCACTGTCTGATAATACCACTTCCTCTTCATTTCTCTTATTCTTCCTGTTGTGTTGGTCTTTCAGTGTTATAGCTTCTCTGCAGAAATCAAACTGTATCCAATTTGCCCCTTTTTGTTCATTACCCTATTATTTGTTTCCCCTTTCTGTGGTTCGCAGCGACTGTGATCATTTCCTAACAAATGTATGGAGCTGTGTTCTTTTTGGTGGGGAATTATGGTTGGTGATGTTAACAATGGATTGAGTCTTTCTGTTTGGTATGATTATATCGTTGAACAAGCATGGTTTTAAAGTGGATGCAGATGACAATTTTGTTTGCAATAGAAAATGGTTGAGTTAGTGGTTTTTAATCGTTTAATTGTTGTGCCTTTGCTATGATCCCTGTTCCAGCGGTGTTTGATTGGCGCAAATAGATTTTCATTGTTATTTCTTAGCTGTTATTTTCGTTGCTGTTCTGTGAGTTAGTGTTAATGGCTTTGCTGTCAGGAACTTGGATCATTGGACAGAGAACTTGGCCCTTTGGCTTTTGAGGTATATTTATTTGCGGTTGTTATGGTGGAATGTGCAATCATTATGTCTTAAGTTGAGCCTGGTTCTTTAATAAAAACAACCAAATGTATTGACTTTTGCATGTGTTTTGCGTTAGAACACCAAGTTGTGATGTGTACGTTGTTGTAAACATTATCAGCAACTTTGGCTTTTCATGTGTTCGCATGATAAAAATGGCTAATATATTGAGTTTGAAAATAAGGGTTTGGGGTTCACTGTCTTTCCATGTGTATAATTTTACCCCTTTTTCGTTTCTTTATCATTTCAATTATCTTTCAGCAACCTAATCATTAAGCTTATTAAATTCATTGACCAGGTGATTTTGGATTCAATCCAGAAGTTCCTAATTCTCAGATTGTGTTGTATGTTCCATTGTGGTAGTGAGATTGGTAAATCATTGCATTTTACTAAAGTATTTGACCTGCGTGTTCTGAACTTTTGAGCTCATTTCGTTTCTAAAATGTCCTCTTGGAGCTCTTACTGTGATCGTTCTTCTATTTCTTTTATTCAAAATGTTTTACATTTCTCATTTAATTGGTGCGCCATGCCCTACTTCAGTTTGTATGTTCTTTTTTATTTTACGGTTATCATTTGCCATCTCGCTTCAGTTTAAGTGGTCCTTTCACCTTAGTTTATTAGACCACATCAGATGTTATTATGAGACCATTATATTGTAATTGATTCTGATGACGGAGGTTTATCGGAGATGAAGGCTAATGCTTAAGCTTTCAGTGGTTAATATCTCTTGAAACTTTTGATTTCATTTATCTTATTGACCTTTTCTCTCTTTTTTTTCTCTCAGAAGAAGCATGAGTACCTCAACCAGAACAGAGAACAGACAAGAATGCAAAGCTAATACACACAACACATACTAAACTAAGAAGTTATCATGGTTGGGTTTATCATCTTTCAACATTTCTTTTGTTGTTGCCCAATCATGAAATTTGGATTTATTCTTGAATGTTAGATGTAGGGTGTGTAATTCTGGCATGTGACATGAACCATCCTATTTTTGGGCGAGCTTTGAGGTTTAACGGTCATACCCTTCATAGGGGTAAATATAATGGATATGGGATACTGAAAAAGTAACAATGTAGTTAACTAATTTACCAACATGCATTCTTCATTTATGATCACAACTTGAATACGGTTCTTGAATTAGGATGCCAAGAGGTTAGGTACTGAAAATATATCCTGTTTTATTAACTTCTCTTGCAATTTGAAAGTGTATATAATCTGCATTGTTCTTACTGTTGGTATGAAATTATGTGCAGCGTCAAGAGGGAAGAAGCGAACGAATCACTCTGTCTGTAAGGTATACCTCCAGGTCATTATACATATCTCTCTGTTCATATTATTTCCTTTTCATTCTTGCTAAATTATTGGGTTATTATATTTGTGTACAGATATTAGTGTATTTGTTAATTGGATTTCGATAATTGGAGTTCAAATATTACATTGTTATAGAGATACCAATTTCTCATATGATTGCAATTTGCAAGTAGATATGTGTTATCTGATTCAATCACAAAATTTGTATCCCTTTAGCTAATAGTATGTTCATTTGTTGAACTGGGTTGGCTTTAGTTTTAGGTTTTATTATGCGGTATGCAGTTGGTCAGTTCTTCAACATATTCTCAATTTAGAACGAGAGAAACTAATGATTCTTCTGAATGAAAATGTTTCAGATGGGTTTCTGTAATGCGAATTTCATGAGGTTCATAACACTGATTTGATTCTCTCATAAGAAAGGATCTCCTCTCTGGCTTTCTGGGCCAAGTTGTCGAAGCTCTCTCTGTAAGTAATTTCTCACCCTTTTCTTCATATTTACCCCCATCGTAGTAAAATCGGATTTCTTTGGTTAAATTGATTGCGCCAATCAGTTCATTTGCTTTCAATTTCTTAATTCTCTTCTTGGCTGCTGGGAAAGTGTGGGCAAAATGATTTAAATTTACTTCCTTTTATGTTTTCAACTTCAATCTTCGTAGTAATTGTACCTAAATGAGCTGACTTTTGTTACAGTTTTTGTGGAATTCCATCTTCTATCTGTTATCTCATTGATCTAATTGATTTAAAATGTATATAAAAAGTGACTTGATTTTTGTTTTTTGCTCTGTTGAGTTCTGAACTGTTTAATTGGATTCATTATCGAAAAAGCTGATTTTTTATTATATTTATTTATTTATTTATTTTTAAAGAAAAATGATTCTTGAAAGCACAATGTTGATGGGTTTTTATTGCCCATCTCAAAGACTGATAAATTCACTTTTGGGGGAACATGCCTAGCACTTTTTTCCTGTGCTGATTTGAGCTGCAAATGTATGAGGGTTGGTCTGAATTGACGAGCATAGATTTTGCGTAAGCAAATGTATACTAATTTAGGATTTTGAGCATTGTGGTGGTATGATCTCATGATAAAATGTCCAAGAATATATGATTTTTTATTCTTTTGATTCAGTATCATAACTCAGTTGCAAAGCACTAAACATTGATCTCATTATAAAATGTCCAAGAATATATGATTTTTTATTCTTTTGATTCAGTATCATGACTCAGTTGCAAAGCACTAAACATTGTAGTTAAAAACTTGCATGCTAATGGTTTGGTGTAATGGTAACTCATTTAGAGAGAGAAAGTGGCAGCAGTAGTGGGGAAGGAAGAAGGACCATTCATGTTTCTGTTATCATTTCTGCCATTCGAAGCTCTGGGGTTTGGGTTTGGCTCTGTTAGTTGTTGAGGTAATTATTAATTTTTTTTCTTCAGTATTCGGTGAGTTTGATCATATGGGTTTCACTACTCAACCCTTCTCTACCATTACGAACAGGTTCACTTTTTAGGGTGGGTAATTTTGTGGTTTGAAAATTATGTGTTAGAAGTGTTAAGTTTGGGCTTAGAAATGGGTTTTCTGTTAA